AGCAAAGCAAGGGATGCAACACGCATCGCTGGTTTGTTTTCTGGAGAAGCTCTGATTTAACACATTGTATGAGGTTTTGACCCTGTCCCGTAGATGTGTTTAGTCCCATTTATGCCGTCGGAGGGGACCGGTGGAGGTCACAGGTTGGACAGGGTCATGGTCTTTCTCCAAACCCTTTAACAGCCTTCAAGGTGAAGTGTCCAGATTGAAGCCTTAATTGGGCTTATTTGGCTTACACAGTATTTTATTTAGTTAAATATAAAAAATACAATTCATAATTAAGGAGCATTGGCATGTGGGACATCGCAGTGTTACAATCCTCATGACTTCTGGACCTTCTTTGGTTGCTTAGACCTCTCACTTGCCACAGCACGGACCACTTTACCCAACATCTGTTGAAATCACACCCTAAAAATAAGAGTGAAATGCCCGTGTGTTGGAGAGAGCTGGAAACCAGGAGGTGCCCAGTGTTGGGACTGGCCATGGTGGGAAGCTCTCTGCCAGGAGAAGGTTGGGGCTGGGAGGCCCACGCGTGGGAGGCAGCCTCAGCGGGAGGTGGGGAAGGGGTTGGTGGGAGGGTGTCGCATCCCGTTAAGGGATGAGTCAGTTTGCAGCTCTAATTAAAGCCCGGGCCATGTGCTGAGGGGAAAGGAGGTGGTGGGGGAGCAGACACAATGCGAAGGGTGGAGCGTCCTCTGCCAGCCCTGAGTCAGAGGAATTGGGGGGAGATGGCGGAGGAGCTGAAGATGGGCTGAAGGAGAAGGCTTGAGGGAGAAGGAAACAAAACAAAAGCAGTCAAACACATAAACAAAGCATTAAGACAGGCTTTGTTCCGATCCTCGTTAAAATGCTGTGAGGCCAGAAAGCTCAAATCTGTGGGGATACAGGGAAGAGCTCGAGTCTGTGGTGGAAGGATGATGGTGATGGTGGTGAGGGCTTGCTTGGCCGAGTGGTGACCAAAGGACACCAAAAAGAGGTTAACATGGTTGTGTGTTGTCTTCTCTTCGCAAACGAGGTATCAATTCAGTAAGAAAGACTCGCGTTGGGTTAGTTACCTCTTCAGAGGTCACTGGGTCCCTGTTTTCTGGCTCTGCCCTGGAGGAACCGCTCCTCCCACAGCTGCAAAAAAGCTTGTCCTTAACCCTGTCCCTCTTCTGCTTCCAGGTGCAAAGTAGGTCAACCAACATGAGTGGCCTTGGGGACAGCTCAACGGACCCTGCCAACCCCGACTCTCGGAAGAGGAAAGGCTCTCCCTGCGACACGGCCCAGAGGTACGTGCGCCGCTCCTGAGCCGTCCTCCTGCCGCGGCTACTTTGGCATTCCCACCGCGTCGCTCCGTCCCGTCTGCTCGAGCAGATGGAGCCGGGTTTCAGCCGCTCGGAAACGTTCACACTTCCCACCACCACTCCGCTTTGCTTTCAGCCGTGGCTGCGGTGGAAGATGGAGCACGATGGAAAGGCGGCTCCCCATCTGCTCCGCTTGTTGTGAGGTGGCGAATGACGATTAGAGGCTCGTTATCAAAGTTTAATGTATTGATTTCGTAAATTGAGAGCGCTCGGAGCATCAGGGAGGCTTTCTCTGGGTAAATTTGGAGCAGATACTTCTGCGAGGTCTGCAGATCATCCCAAGCCTTCCGCCTCCTTGTGCTGGATTCCCAAGAAATCTGTGGTTTTGTGATATTCCGAAGCTCTGGTGGAGACCCTCTTGCTCCGTGGTGCGATTACAGAGCAAAAAATATTTCTGTCTGAAATATCTTCATTTTTATGTGCCAATGGGGGGCTGCTTCAGAGGTCAGCTCACTGCAGGAAGGCACCTTTTGCTTATGACCGAGCTTTCCCATCCCAGCGGCTTCACCACCCGATTTGGGCTAAGAAGTCCTGGATAGAGGCAGCTGTGATCTCCTTCCAAAGGCTTTTCCATGCTCCCTGAGAATCCTGGGCATCTTTTTCCGTGGCGATACAGTCCCTTAGTAAGGATGAGCCTACGGTGCTGCCGCTCACTCCGTGTCTGTGCTGCCTGGGATGATGTTTTGGTCGTTGTCACAGGATATTGATGCCCTGAGCAAAGCCCAGGTGTATTTTCCATCACCATCAGCTCGTGCGTGATATTCTCGATAATGAATATAAAGGCTGCGGTATTCGGGTAGAGAGACATTAAGTGGTTGTTTGAGGATTTCTGTTTATTGCAGTTTTTGGTTGCAACATCTCCCTTCTGTAGAGTTCACGCACCTTCTTACAAAGGCTCCGTGGGTCATGGCTTAGCGGTGCTATTAAATTGCAGAAGACATTTTGATAGCACTCACAGCTGTCTTAGTCCTACCAGCTTCTTCTGTAATCATGAAATATTTCCTCTTTCTGGCTGAGTCACTGGAGTCAGAGCTCAGCAGCCCTTGCTGCTGTCTCTAGGCTGCTCTCTCAGAGCTGATCCTCACCCCAGAGGTGAGTGTGGGGTGAAGCTGTTGGTCCTTGACTCCCCATGGTAGAGCCATGGGTAGCAAGGTGGGCTTGGACTCCTCTTCTTGAAGGAACTGGTCCGCAGATGGATGAGCACACACCTGGCTTTGCTTCATCAGGACAAGAGGGAATGGCCTCAGGTTGCACCAGGGGAGGTTTAGGGTTGTCAAGCCTTGGAAGAGGCTGCCCAGGGCAGTGGTGGAGTCCCCATCCCTGGAGGGGTTTCAAAGCCGGGCAGACATGGTGCTGAGGGACAAGGGGTCATGGTGGTTTTTGTCAGTGTTGGGTTGATGGTTGGACTTGATGATCTGAAAGGTCCAACCTAGACAGTCCTATGATTCTATGACTCCTCAGTCTGCCTTTGGAAAGCAGATCTCTTGAGGTTTGTATCCTAACCTCTAAGCACCCCAAGAAAGCCTTCTGCTGCTGACACCAGGGGTCTTCAAAATATATAGGATGAGGAATGAACTGATTGTAGAGAAGCAGAAACTTCTGGATGAAGGATTCTCCTTCCTTGTCCAAGCACAACGAGCTTTTACATCCAGGAAGCACCTACAAGCATTTTTGGAAGGGTTGACTCAAATACTTGCTGTCTGGTTGACCATTCAACCCCCAACACCGGAGCTGGGGCGTGTTACTGAAATCCAGAAGAGAAGTTCTCACTAGTGTTGCGTCTTCCTTCTTTCAGACCATCTCTCGAGTGGCAGCCGCGGTGGGGAGGGACCTCCTCCTCCTCCCTGGGCTGGCCAGAGTCCTCCCTAACGTACTCCCAGAGCAAAGTGAACTTCACAACTCCTTTGTTAAAACCTGGAAGGTTTAACTATTGCTTTTGATGATAGTTGAGAGTCATAAAGAACATCCCACTGCTGTAATATTCTCATGATGCTTTTATGTAAGGAAAATTGGCCAATTCTCCCTCCTACAATCTGAAAGTTGCCACAGCAACAGCGACATTAAGGGTTTTCATGAAATGAGCTCACCCACAACAGAGGGATTTTATTTTTTTTTTTATCCTCTCCCCTCTGCTCTTGCTTTTCGGTTCGCAAGGAGAGCTAGGAATTAATTTGACCTTAACTAAAATACTCGCTGGGCTCCTTCGAGAAGCATTTGCCTGCCCGATGCAGGGGGGCTGCTGTCACCCATACCTCTGCAAAAAGAGTCTGAGGTCCATGGTTGGACCCAGCACTTCTGCAGGAGGTGGACATCCAACCTACCTCTGTGAAGCTGGTGTTGCTGCCTGTGACTCCTTAGCACCCGTTGGAAATAAGGGCTCTTGTGCCCACCTGAACCCATTGCAGAGGAGTTTCCAGGTCACACCACATGTCTCCCATGGAAGGTCTCACTCATGGACTTCATGGGACCTGTGGTACAGGCAGAAACACAATGTGAGTTCTCCACACCCACAGCTGCTCTTGCCTTTATTTTTTTTTTTCCTTTCTTTTTTGATTCTGCCACTCCTCCAAGTTAAAAGAGGGCGAATCATTCCCGCTTCTCCTCTGGGCAGTCACAACATCTGGAGAGACACGGGCCGGAGGAGAACCAAGGTGATGGAGAACCTGGGAGGCAAGGGGAGGTTCATCACAGAGTCTTATCCCCGCAGTCGTTAGATATGTTCATGTGAGAGCAAGTTTAAACAGCACAAAAATGCCCAAGAGACACTGCCCACCTGTCAGACCTGGATATTGAGCTAATAAAGTGGAACTGGGCAAAAATAAAGAAACATCTGTGCAGCCAACCCAAGGAGGTCCTTAGAGGGCAGGGCTGGTGGTGTCTCATCCCCTTTTGGACAGATGTGGTTCCCGAAGGGTCTCTGCAGAGTGAGTGATCAAGGTGTTTTCACGCTTCACTTGGTTTGCACTCTCAGCAGATAAAATAATCCAAACCTCTTCTTGAAGCCTTCAGAGCTTGTTCCACCACAATGCAAGGGCATCTGTGACGGGACACAAATCTCCTACTGAGCCAGACTTCTGGATTCAGCTTTCATAGCCCTCCATAAGCAGTGGGGCCTCTTTGAGGCCAGGAACATCTCACCGTGCCCACAGGCATCTCAGCAGCTTCTTGGTGTCCAGTAAATGTTAGGGGTTTTCAGGCAGTACTTCTTGAATTGGGTTCTAGGCATCCTGTGGAGACTGCAACAAAAAATAAGGTGGTTTATTGGAAACCAACCTGCTAAAAGGCATCGCAAGCGGTGTAGGGCCACGTTGGGCAATTTGAGGTGTCCCCATTCCATCCTGTGGTCGCTGTAGAGGGAGGTATTTAGGGAAAGTGGGTCTCTGTGTGTCTCTGCCACATGCCCAGAATTTTGGTGGCTTTGATGCTTGTAGCATCTTTGGGAAAGGAGTATATTACAGTGTCCAGGGTGGCTTCAATAATGGCCACGTTACAGCACACAAGTATTCTCAGTTCCCAGAATTTACAAATACTTGATGGGGAAGCGTTGAGCTTCTGCAGCATCTGGGAGCTAAAAGGAAAGCTGCTTTTGCTGGGACAAAAAGGTTGATCTCATGAATATTTTTCATTTTCCTCATGTCATCGTTGATTCCAGTTTTCACTTTGGTGAACTCCGGCGGATGTTGTTACCTTTTATGTAGGAATTTGGGATTAAACTTGGCGACAGCCGGAATAGTGGCTGTACAAAAATAAGGGGCTGTATAGAACTATTTTTGATTATTTTTGATATAGCTCGTTTATAACTACTTTTGAGAGGAAGGGAGAGTCCTGAGTGTTAGAGATCTGGTTGTTGTTGGGGTGTCTGGCTAGCCCTGTGCATCTTAATTTTGATTATATGCAT